TTTATTAATACCATAACACACAAAGATGTGTTCTCAAAGTTGAGGAAACAAGTTAGTTTTTCTAACATGAGTGGGAGACATGATAAACAGTTGAGAAAAAGTTAGGTGGAATGAATTATCATGTGTACATCTAGATCCTCGAATAAAATAATATGAACTTGAAGTTCATAAAAGGATAATTCATTTGCAATATATTGCAAAGCATGCCAGACGCATTTGCTGACCCAAAGAAAGTAACTATATTCTCATTGCAAATTCTCCTATTAAGTTCTAGAAGGACAAAGTCTATGGTACGCTTAAAGCACATAGACAAATCGGCTTCAAATAAAATTCTTGATAAAGAAGATGAGCAAACGATCAAAATGATCATAATAAGGAGGTAAGTGATCTAGAAAATCACATGACATAATACTTCATAAAATCTCAGGAGAGATTCAGGTACCTTAAAACATGAATGAAGAGATCTCTATGTCATGTCTTTATGAAAAAAATGTTGGAAACGACATAAAACGTTCGTCGATGACATGTATGATAGCGCTAAGTATAGTTGAGGATCTTGAACCTCAATCTGTTGGAGAATGTCGACAAAGACTTGATTGCCCAAAATGGCAAGAAACAATCCAATCAGAGTTGATTCACTTGCAAAATGTGAAGTTTTTCGGCCTGTAGTCCAAACAACTAATGGTGTTAAGCCTGTTGGCTATAAATGGGTCTTTGTACGCAAGAGGAATGAGAAAAATGTGGTACAAAGATATAAGGCACGCCTTGTTGCACAAGGATTTTCACAAAGCCTGGTGTCGATTATGAAGAGACATATTCACCCGTTATAGATGCTATAACGTTCCGTTATCTCATTAGTTTTGTTGTCCATGAAAAGCTTGACATGCATTTAATGGATGTGGTTACCGCCTACCTTTATGGCTCACTTGATAATGAGATATACATGAAAATTCTCGAGGGATTTAAAATGCCTAACACATATAATTCAAAGTCTCGGGAAATATTTTCAATCAAATTGCAAAGATCTTTGTATGGTCTAAACCAATCAGGATAAATGTGGTATAATCGTCTTAGTGAGTATTTATTAAAGGAAGGCTATATAAATGATGCCATTTGCCCATGTGTTTTTATAAAGAAAACAACATCGGAATTTGTTGTACTTGCTGGTGCTGATGACATAAACCTTATTGGAACTCCTATAGAACTCCAAAAGGCAATTGATTATTTAAAGAAGGAATTCGAGATGAAAGATCTCGGAAAGATAAAATTATGTCTCGGTTTGCAAATTGAACATTTGGCAAACGGAAATTTCGTTGATCAATCTACCTATATAGAAAAGGTATTGAAACGGTTTTACATGGATGGATCACATCCATTAAGTACTCCGATGGTTGTTCGATCACTTGATGTGGATAAAGGATCCATTCCGACCTCAAGAAAAGAATGAAGATCTAGTTGGTCCTGAAGTACTATATCTTAGTGCAAGTGGTGCACTAATGTATCTTGCTAACACTACAAGGCCCGACATAACTTTTTTAGTTAATGTCTTAGCAAGATATAGCTCTGCTCCCACAAGGACACATTTGAATGGAATCAAACACATATTGCGGTATCTAAAAGGGACTACCGATATGGGTTTATTTTATGGCAATAATTGCAGTCCCGATCTTGTTGGTTATGCCGATGCTGGGTATTTATCTGACTCACACAAGGCTCGATCTCAAACAGGCTATGTGTTTACCTGTGGAGGCACTATCGTATCTTGGCGATCGACTAAGCAATCAACTGTGGCTATTTCATCTAATCATGCTGAGATAATTTCTATTCATGAAGCAAGTCGAGAATGTGTGTGGTTGAGGTCTATAATACATCTTATTCGAGACAAATGTGGTTTGAAGTATGACAAACTACCCACGATTTTGTATGAAGACAATGCAGCATGCATAGCCCAATTGAAGGAAGGATTCATAAAAGGAGATAGGACAAAGCACATTCCACCAAAGTTATTTTCATACATGATCTTCAAAAGAATGGTGATATCAATGTGTAGCAGATTCTTTCAAGTGATAATATGACTGATTTGTTTACAAAATCTCTACCAACGTCAACCTTCAAGAAGCTAGTGTACAAGATCGGGATCCGAAGGCTCAAGGATATGAATTGATGCTCTCATCAGGGGGAGTTAATACGCGTTGTACTCTTTTTTCCTTGCAAGGTTTTTAACGAGGCAACCAAAAGGCGTATTTCTAAATATGTGTACTCTTTTTTTTCTTCTCTAGAATTTTTTTCCCACTGGGTTTTATTTTAGTTAAGGTTTTAACGAGGCATATTACTTATTGAGTAGACATTCAAGGGGGAGTGTTATGAATAGAATTGTAATTAGAGTGAATGTCTACCTTTTTAGGGAGTTTTACTTTGTGGCTAAGTCATTTTTCCCCTATAAATAGAGGGGTCTTACCCCATTGTAAATCATCCCAAAAATTCAATAAAAATTTCCTCTCTTTCTCTTCAATACTGCTCTTCTTCTTTTATTGTTTTATTACAAAGTTCAAATATTTTTCTTTTTTTATTATTTCAAAGATATCATCATATCAAATTAACCTGCTTAAATTTCAAATTGTCAGATCACAAAAATGTAATATGCTGAAAAGGAAAATGAAAACAAAACTAAAAAGGAAATGAAAGTTGAAGGGAGAAACTCTACTGCTTAAAACTTCTTTTATGGCAAGAGTTTTAACGAGTATCTGGTGAATAGACATTCAAGGGGGAATATTATAAATAGAATTTTATTTATGGTGAATGTCTATATTTTAGAGAGATTTTAGGGATTTTACTTGGTAGCTAAGTCATTTTTTCCATATAAATAAAGGGGTTCTATTCCATTGTAATTCATCCCAAATCAATAAGAATTTTCCCTCCCTACTTTTCTCTGCAATACTCTTCTTCTTCTTTTATTGTTTTATAACAGAAATATATTTAAAAAATTACTTTAAACCTACCCAAACATATCGACTTTTTGGTTGTTTTTGCTTGAGAGTAAGAACAACGTAGTGATGTACCAAAAAAAGTAAGAACAAACTAATTATCAGAGAGAAGCATTTTTGACATTAATATGGATTACAGGAGAAAATCTTGTACGAGCAAGACATGACAGGAGCATCTTGGCATGGTCCAAAACTCAAATAAGAGAGTGGCATGAGGAACAGACAGCCTTCTTCCACATGCAGATATCAGCATCTCTTCTTCTTCCTTTAAAATTCTTCTCTTTCTAGTTGCTCCTTTCACAATTCACATGGTTTTGTTCATTTGATATGGGTCTCACAATCCACCCAACGCCAATAAGTTATCAAAACAAGTACTTTCCTTTTAGGATTTAATTAATATACATCAATAATGTAAAATAAATTAATAATATGAACAGACGTTAATCAATTATAACAAGTTATTATTCTAATTTTAAATTTATTATGAAGTGTTGCTTATATTATTTATCAATTTAATTTTATGGTGCAAAAACCTATACATTTACAATTAAAAAATTTAAAAATATAACTGATTACCCTTAAATTTTGCTTTTCAGAAAATTCTAATGAAATAAAGATGTCTACTTAGATATTAGGTAGAGTTAATGTAATTACTTAAACAATAGGCATAGAGGCCAAAACGGATGTTGAATGTTGATGCTGCCCTAAAGATTCCAAAAGGTCCAAAGTGGTTTTGGTAGTGGTGCCAACTGTACTGCTGTGTGGACACTTTCAGCTGCCACATCTGGAGACCAATAATGTTCGTGAGGCCAATCTGTAATCCTGCACTGAATCTCCTCCGTCGGTGCGATGGCTACCAAAGTGCTCAAACCGAACCGGAAAACCGCACTAAGCCGAAAAATTAAACCAAACCGATTAAAAAACCCGATGAAGTTTTGTTTGATTTGGTTTAGTATTGAATAAAAAAAAATCGAACCAAACAGACATATAAACATATAATTTTTATATATACTTATAAGACTTTATAAAGAATTTAAAAATATCTAGAAATATTTGGGATTCTCCTATGAAATGTAATACTTAATAGAATATGAAGTGCTCCATTTTTATTAACTTTAAATAATGTGTTATATGATCACTTTCTTATCAAGTGATTGAAATGCATCAATCTCTTCGTTTTTTCATATTCATATGTTAAGATCTATTAGATTCTTATATATTTTTCGAATCTGAAGTGGTATTTCGATAATTGAAAATTAAATATTACATACATCATTATTTAGGTATCGTATTATTTTTTATGTTTAATTATTAAAATCAGTTAACTTTGAAAGTGTACATCAACGAAAATTTATCGTCAGACAAGTAGAAAAATAACTTTTATGTGTTACTAAGAAAATTCTCCCACAAGAATATATTAATAGATCATATGTTTGTCAATTATTTTACATGTACTTATAAAAAATTTTACAAAGTAAGATTGACATATTATTCATGTAATAAAAAAACCCGAAAAATCCGACAAAACCGAACTAATTCATGTACACCCCTAATCGCACCCATCTAATTACATGGCGAGAGACAATATGGTGTTTTAATTATTTTTTTTTTAATTCCCTCCCTCCGAGAGCTACCCATATTGCTCTAGGGCTGACTTGAACTCACAACCTGTTGGTTGGAAGTGAAGGGTACTCACTAGTTGAGCAACCCACTCTTGTCCTATAGTTTTTTAATTAGTGTGGCCAATTTAGATTAAAGCTTCCACGATCATAATTGTTCAAGCAAACAATATCAATTATATAATAGAAAATTAGACCTAATTTTTCACAGCAAAGTAATTGTTGTCGCTAACGGATTTATTTAAAGGCATTAGCCGTTTAAAACAATTTTCGAGCCAGAGTTATAGCCATAATTTAAATACAAAATCAAAATTTAAAATTTATGAGCAAGAAATTCTAGCACCTTTAAATTACTAGATTCATCAATACTTTCGAGCATTACTGCTATTAGATTGTTTTAATTAAAAGGTTACTTATATTCATTTCATTTCAGATTATTAATTCACATTTCAATAAAGAATTACCCTATAGTAGAGTTTTATATAAGAATAGTGAAAGCAAAATCCTTAACTTTACTTCTTTCTTCAATTCCTAACCAGTGTCACTAGTTTGCTCATTTGATCAAACCAAAAACAAAATGCATACAAAAACAGATTCGGAGGTTACAAGCCTAGCTCCATCTTCTCCAGACCACAACCATCGACCAGTCTACTACGTACAGAGCCCATCGCGCGACTCTCACGATGGTCAGAACACAACGACGTCGTTCCACTCCACCCCTATCCTTAGCCCTATGGGGTCCCCACCCCACTCGGTGGGCCACCACTCTCGTGAGTCCTCCTCCAGCCGGTTCTCCGGCTCCCGGAAGATCAACCCCAACGATGCCGGTAAGCAGCAAATGAGGAAAGGGCAAAAGAAATGTGATGTCATTGAAGAAGAAGGGCTTCTTGATGATGAGGCCCATGGTAAACCTCTGCCACGTAGATGTTATTTCGTTATCTTTATCATTGGTTTCTTTATTCTCTTCTCCTTCTTTGCACTCATTCTTTGGGGTGCTAGTCGTCCTCAGAAGCCCAAAATCACCATGCGGGTTAGTCCATTTTTCTTCAATTTCATTCTCTGAATTTCTTAGTTGTCGACGGATCTACATAGCAGTATTTTTTAACAAAAATACAGCGTGTCTACATTTTGTTTACTGTGTGACTGGTTCTTCATTTTGTAATTGCCATATATAGAGAACGGATTGATCATTTTTAAGTGAGTTTTGAAAATGGGGGGTATTTGTTGTTTTTGTTTTCAGATCATCAAATGTTTTTCTTTTTTGGTGTGATGTGTTGTATGCCATCTTGATTTTGTTGCTTGAGGCTTTCATTCCGACATTAATGGATACAGATTAATCATTCTAGGTGAGTTTTGAAATGGCTGTTTGTTGGATTGTATTATCAAAGCATCAGGTTTATTCTGTTTTCTACCATTTTTTATTTCGCTAAAATGAGGCTATAATTTTCAATTAAAAAGATAAAAAAAATTGAGATACCAAAGAATTCGGATGTCTGTGTTTCTAGAGCATCAAATTTAGTTGTTGCTGGTGTGATGTGTTCTCTACTATTGGATTTTGTTATTTCAATCCCAGTTAATTTTAAGTGAGTTTTTGGAATGGGTATTTGAGATTCCAGAGCATCAAATTTATTTTGTTCATGATTTTGTTCCTTGGGACAATAATTCCCAGTTAAATTATCAAGTTTGATTCTCTAGTGAGTTTTGAAATGGGTATATGATGGATTGTGTTTACAGACCATCAGAGCTTTTTTTTTTTTTTTTTTTTTTTTTTAATCGTGGTTTCCGAGCATCGCTTTGCGAACCCAACTAGGTGTACCCACCGGGACTCGCTGTTTCAATGCGTGCACCACGGTTAGTTCCACGGGCCCCTGGAGACGCGGCCGGTTTGTAATGCCTCCAGTGGCCCTGCAGGGCTCGAACTGGCGACCTGAAGGACTTTGTCCTCAGGCCTTTACCAGTTGAGCTACCCTCAGGGTTGACCATCAGAGCTTTTGATGTGATATTTTCTTGTATCATTTGGATTTTGTTAAATAGATAGAGATTGATCGGTTTAATGTGTTTTCAGAGCATCAAATTTGACAGATTCGGTATACAAGCTGGTTCTGACGGTACAGGAGTAGCCACTGACATGATCTCCATGAATGCTACCGTGAAATTCCTTTATCGTAACACTGGAACATTCTTCGGTGTACATGTTACATCATCACCCATTGATCTCTCCTATTCAGAACTCACTCTTGGATCAGGAACAGTAAGTCTTTCATCTAGCGTATCACTGCATCGACTGTTTTATAAATATATTACTATTAGTTGCGACGAAAGAGATTGACTAAAACGCATCCCCCATGTCCCACATTATTTCCAACTTATAGTAGAATGATGTTTCCTGATTTTGTTAAATAGGTGAAGAAATTCTACCAATCAAGAAAGAGTCAAAGAGTTGTATCCGTATCACTCATAGGGAATAAGATTCCTTTGTATGGAAGTGGAGCAAGTTTGAGCACCCCAACTGGGACGACAAGCCTGCCTGTGACACTTAAATTGAACTTCATGCTAAAATCAAGAGCTTATGTTTTGGGTAAATTGGTGAAGCCTAAGTTTTACAAGACCATTGATTGTTCAATTAATTTTGATCCCAAGAAGCTTAATGCTGCCATCAAATTAAAGAATTGTACATATACTTGATTAAGCAGTTGGTAAAGTTCTGAGCTTTCCAGTTTTATTGTCAATGAAGAAGAGTAGATGGGTAGTGAGTGGGAGTCTCCGGACAACGTCTAATAGGGTGGAAAATGAAGAGTACAGGCTGAAATTGATATGGCTTTGCTTGAATTGTTCAGCCAATTTTTTTATAGGAATTGAAAAGAGGGATTATTTGATATGTTAATTTATCCTGTGTAATATTATGTCTCACACAGTAGATTGAATTGTTTATTTGTTTGAAGAATTGCAGCATTATTAAATTAATACCGTAATGTTAGTGGTTTCTTGCGGCCTTCATCATTTTTCTTTTTGTTCTCTGTTTTGCTGAAAATTTGATACTGAAAAGAATATATAATTGATTATTTTTAATGGTACGATTTAAATTGTTGTTAGAACTTATAGATCTCGTAGACCTAAAAATGGGTAAAGGTGGATCGATAAATTTTTACCATCTCCTATAGGAAAACAAAGAAACACCAAACATAAACTATGGCTGAACGCTCTATATATGGAGGACATGGGAAGAAGGTACAAGGAGAAGAATTTTATTCTCTAATTAGATAGAGATAGTGCATTTTATTCTCTAAGTTTCTATTAATTTATTTTCCCTCTGCTTTAAAACAGCCCTATGTTTGAAACTGTGAATGCAAGATAGATTATAAATAAAATATAATAAAGTAAAACGGAAATCTTCTCAACTTTTAGCAAACAATTAACTTGGTGCTGTATGATTATATACTTAAAAGGGTAATGAAAGGTAATGTACCGAGAAAAATACAACTCTGGTAGACGCTTCTCTTTCCAAACACAAAAAAATCTACAAATCCCAACTTTTGAATCATTTTACACAGTTTGCGAGTAGAAGGAGCCATTAAGTAATCTCGATTCAGAACTTAAGCTGAAACGTTGTCAAAACAGAAAATGCCAACAGATCTAGAGCTAGTTGTTTCTTGAGTTAAATTTCCATTAGAATCGATCATAACAAGTAATCCCATCTCAAAACAGATTACGCAATGAGCTAAAAATACAAACAAACAAAGCAAAACTATTGAACTTGTACTCTCGTCTATCTTCGGCAGCGAGTAATAGCAGAACAGCCTCTGGAGTAAGGATGGACAGGGCCACTAGTTTTGTAACAGTTGTTAGTATAGTAGGATCTACCCGAACGCGGGGGACATGGAATGCGATTTGCAGTTAAAGCCCCATATGAAATGTAGTAATGACTATGCCAGTAAAGCGATACACCAATTTGGCTGCTGCTTAAACTATCTTCATGATGAGATTTCTTGCCCTTGGTCAACGGCCATTCATTCATGAGCTGAAAGCTGCTCATGTGGTCTAGCTGGGCATGTACATTATTTGAGCAGAGAGCCAGATAAAAAAGTAAAATCAGTAGACTAATAGGAGCTTTGTGAATGCAAGATGTTGTTAGTGCCATGGATGGATGCTAGAGGATAAGTGAGAGTTACGTTGTAGGAAATGTATTGGAGTGTGAAAACTGGAGAGGAAAATAAGTTAGTGGGAAAATGGGAGTTTTGTGGGGGGTTTGAGAGAGAGGGGTCACAGGGATAATGAGGTCAAGGGCTGAGCGGTGGACCAGCTGAGTTTGTCTGCAAGGGATGGAGCAGAGGCACGAGGTATTTTCTTCCCTAATTAACGCTGTCTTTACTGCTGCCATTGTTTCACTCTATATTAAGAGTCTGTTTGGAAAGCTACCTTGGATTTGGATTTGGGTGTAATTGGGTGTAATTACACAGTTTGGCATGTTTGTTTGGCCAAGTAATTACTTGGTCAGCATGGAATTGGGGTTAATTGGAGGGGTGTAATTACACTCTCCAATTCTCAAGGGGAGGTGAGAATTGGTGGTAATTACACTGTGTAATTACAAGGTTGCTTTTTAGTTTCTTTCCTTTTTGTTTTTATTTTAATTTGTTTTCTTTATAACTTTTTATTTTTATTATTTTGATTTTTACTTTTTTAATTTCTTTTGAAATTTTAAAATATATTTTCTTTGTACATTATCTATCTTTTATTTCTCTATCTTTATTTCTTGTGATTCCATGTAATTGCTTATATTTTATTTTTTATTTATTTTATTATTCTATTTTTTGAAACTACACCTCCTAATATTAGAAATAATGAGTCATTAATAAACTTGGCATATAATGAGTGATGCAATTAAAGTGGAACTTCGTTGTTAAATGTGGTTATAAACTTATCATGTTTCCTACCTTAAGTTGCAGTGAGACTTACTATTATTATGTTGGAATTTGACATAAGTTAAATTATTTTATTTTTTTGAATTTTTGAAATTGTGTTACATTCATGGTTCCAATTTACTTGTTTTGTTGTATTTACTCACATTGCATGTTGTTCATTTTCTAGTTAGAATTGGTAGATTAGTTTTGTCAAACATTTGAATAATGTTATGACACTATATTTATAAATATTAATTTACTTTATCAAACATGAATTCCATGATGTTCTTACAAAACGTATATTTTTTTTTAGTTTTTGCAAGTATCTAAACTAAATATTATTAATTTAAAATACATATATATATATATATATATATATATATATATATATATATTATTTTAAAAATATTAGTTATAAATATATAATTATTAATTAATGTATATTCACAAAAAAATATACATCTTAAATCAAATATATTATCATTTATACTTATAAAATCTTATAGGTATATATTTATTATATTAATTTTTAGTTTTGATAATTATTTAATTTAAAATTTAATCTAACTGTGTAATTACACTTGTGCAACCAAACAGTAAACTTATAATTACACTGTAAATACACTATGATAAACAAACAGGCTATCGTAATTACACAATTGTGTAATTACTAGGCTGTGTAATTACTACCATAGTAATTACACCAATTCCAATTACATGGTGACTTTCCAAAGAGACTCTAAATGTTTCAAATTAAAAATACCCAAAAAAAAGTTTCATTTTCCCAAGACTAAAGTGTTTTAAAAAGCGATGCGTAAGGCAAGCTGTACTATCTACGAGGGGCATGAGGTGCCCTAAGGCACGGGCGGGGTCTAAGCTCCTTGGCTAATTAATATTTAATATTTATAATAGGATTTTTTTTTTACTTGAAAAAGTGAAAGATGTAAAGATGTATAACATGGCTATGTTGGAACATACTTAGAGTTGTAAAGATATTATTCTAGTTCCTAATAATTCAACGTATAAAAATGACAATAATATAAAATTTTTGTTTAAAAATCTAAATCTAGATAACAAATCACAAATACTCATTATAATATAATTAGCTAGAATAGAATCTTCAAAACAATATCTACACTAAAGTAATACCTAAAGAAATTGTAAAATCAAAAACTAACTTGACAAGAATAGATTAAAGAATGCAAAAGGTTTTTTTTGAAGAAAATGAAACATAAATAAGGAAAATGTAAGTGTGGAAGCAGAGTAATAATTTAATGATAAACCTCTTTACTATGTAGTTTGCAATTTTCAGATAAAGATTTAAAGTATATTTGTTACTCAGTAAACAACAACGAGAAAAGATTATGAAATTAGTATAAACAATTAGATAAATTCTTTGCCTTTTGAGGATTTTTGTTTGAGAATATACTATGAGTTAACTTTGGATATCTGAGTTTTTAAAAAAATTATTAAGAAATTTTGGCTCGAATTTGAAAAAGTTCGGGGGCTTACGGCCCAAATGAGCGCCCAGGTTAGGACTTTGTTTACTCGCAAAAAGGTACAGTTGAATTTGAAAGGGAATTTATAGATACGTGAATTAAATTAATCCGAGAAATAAAGTAATGAGGAGCAAAAGTGAAAAAAATAAGAGTAATTGAAGAAAAGACGAGCCTTGACCTTGAATTTAACTTCTCCAAAAACAAGAACAATGCCGAAAACTAAATATTAGCATAATAAAGTTTTGCTGAATAAGTGAATAGTGTCAGCCTTTTTTCATACAAGTATTTCGTGTTCTCCAATAAGAACAAATTTCTATATTTATAGCAAAATTAGGGGAGGCAAGATCCCCAAATCATATTCCTCAGATGAATAAAGACCTCTCTTGATAGCAGCATAATGGTTGATAGTAAATGCTATAATTCTTTATAACGACTGCTCCTTTAATGCTGCTTTCTTCAACCAGTACATTGCTTTCAAATTTTCTTCTCCGATTTTGATGTCCTTGGGGCTCATACAATATCGATCACATTCTTGTACCTGGTGTCAGCTATTTGCTGACTCATCTCCTACATGTTTCTACTGCGATGTGTCACTTGACGAACATCCATATGTCATATGTTAATTTTACCCTATATAGATAGCCCCCTACTTTCCGGTGACTCAGTTTGATGTGACCGGAAAGTAGAGAAGACCTTCTCTTTTCTTGGCGGGAAATTTCTTGAATGATTTTTGACACTTGAAAGGACTCACATCTCCTTGCATTTAATGAGCCGAACATGTGTTGTCCTGTTATTCGACAAGTATTTTGCCAGTAACCTAGGTAATGATGGCTTTGCATTGTGCCGCATATAAACTTCTTCCCTTTTTATCACTTTCATCTTTCACTTTTACAAACTTTCTTCTCCGAGTCTTCCTAAAGCTTTTCTGCAACTCCCATTTTCTTAGTAAAATTTATAAATTCGTATTTTTCATCACTGTCTTTTGCTATTTCTTCCAACGGTTACACAGGGACTTGCATCGGCGGCAACCCATCCAAGAAAAACAAGTCTAAAAAACTTGATGTCGGACTTCCCTCTACTAACACGATCATCCCTTCTCAGTTGTCTTGTGAAAAAAAAACCCACGTTCAAAAGGAATCTTCTGACCCCGATAATGACAGAATAAGAGTTGTTGATGAATATCCCTCTTCTATTCGCCTGACCAATATATCTGTTGTAAAAGAGGACTGTGGCCGGAAGAACATTGATGTATTAGCCCCTCGTGAAGTGGAGATGATTACATTCAACAGACCAGGATACATTTACATTTGCACTCACCCTTTTACTTTAAGACATGGCATGAAAATAGACCCAATAATCTTGGAGTTTTGCCTGAACTACCAAGTTTGTTTGGTTCAAGTAGGGCTAGCAATATGGCACACAATGGCTTACCTCTGATACTTGTGTTCCCGAGCTCAAGAAAACCTTACTCTTGCACATGTGATCAACCTATACACCCCTAAAATTTTACGTGGGGGCGTGATCAAACTCCGCAAATGCGGTCACCATGCCATTGTTACCAGTGTTGATGACGACAATGATCGTGGT